CAGTTGCCCGTTTTGAATGGGCCCACAAGCTTACTCCCCCGTTGCTTCACCAGGCCTTCTCCAAGCCCCGATTTTTGCTTGTGGCGACAAGATCATTTTTTCTGCAAGTTTGGGGCCGTGTACTGGTGGTTTAAACCACCAGTACCTAGAGCGACTTTTTCTCCTACCTTCCGGCGATTGGTATGCTGAGCCTGCCGATCCTGGGGGTGCCGAGCCTGCCAACCCTGGGGGTGCTGAGCAGCTGACCCTGGGGTACCAGTAGCAGGACAGGTCGAGCCTGCAGGGACCAGTGAAAAAAAGAAAAACGAAAAAAAAAAAAAAACAAGAACGCAAGGGCCGTTAATGCAGTTCGATTCATTCTCCAAAGTGCTAGTGTGACCATGCCCTCAAAGAATGTGTCTCAGCTCCGTTGCATCCTTGTCAGAATGAAGCAAGTAAAAGAAGGGGAGAATAAAAAATGATACACCGCTTTGGCCATGATTATGGTCCGATACATTGCTGGAAGTGCCAGTGCCAGTATGCCCTCAATGAGGGCGTTAGAGAAGATCATGGAACTGCCCGGCCTCGCTGACAGGGGACTTCTAAAAACGGAAAAGAACAAAGAAAAAAAGGAGAACTTCGTGAATCATCCCCAAAATTATAGTTACATCTGTTGCAGGTAGGGGGAGCTACCTTCTTCCCCCAAATACAACGTATGGTCATTGTAGATGTATTTAGACTGAAAGATACCCTAAATTCAGCTATAATGACCGTATGTTGTATTCGGGGGAAGACTGTAGCACGACCTCTTTTTTTCACTCGCCTTTTTACAGATGAAAAGCTGCGATCAATTACTCACTGCCCTGACCCCCGTCCGACGCGGCACGTTAATGGCCGCATCGGAGAAAAATAGCTGGGCGAGGTACTGGTGGTTTAAAAGAATTAGGCCCCAGCCTTGCTGAAAAGAAACTTCTCGCCCGTCCGAAAAAGTCGGCGCGCTGTTGATAAAATGAATCAGTAGCCGGCGTCGCATCAATGGTACTTGCCGAAGCTCCCAGGGAACCAAAAATAGGCCATGGACTTGGATCAACTAAATGATAAGGATACTTTTGAGAACTCAAACTCATTGCTTCGCTGACATGGGCCACGAACAATGTGAGGCATGTGCTGGTGGTTAAAAAAAAAAAGGACACCGGTATTGCCCACTGCAGGACAGGCGCAGCCCCCGCATTTTCCCTCGTTGGAGGCTTGAACTGGGGCTGGCTGCTACGGGGTTCCCGTAGTACTATAAAGTCTGTAAGAATGTTAATAAAGAGAATTAGCCTCAGAAAGAAAAAAAGAGAATAAAAGACGCCTAAAGAGCGAGTGGCGTTCAGAAGGTCGTGGGCTCAAAACCCGCCAACGGTGTTTAGTGGCATTCAGGAGGTAGTGGGCTTAATCCCTACTGTGACCGCTTGTGGCGCGGTTGGTGCCAACCAGCTGAGATAGTGGCTTGCTCCCCCTGGTCGGTATTAGTAGGGTCTTTAGTCAACGTGGGTGTGACTGTGTGTGTGAGGGGTTGTGTGTGGTCTGTGGGAGAGTGTTGGCCGTAGACACTGCTGTCACCCGATGGGGGTGGGGAAAGAACAAAAGGGAGGCGCAACTACTGGTGATATGCTCGGTTGTGTGAGCCGGGGCCCCAGCGGCAGCCCCAACCCTGCACCCGGACCACTAGGACAAAAGGCAATATGCAATATCCCCTTCACTGTGACAGGTAGCTCTGCTTGCAGCGGCCGCTGTATAGCCTGAGTAGTGGTAGGTAGGTAGTGAAAGGTGCATTTGAGAGCAATAATTGATGAAAGCACATGGTGGTGCACCCACTTACGTGAAAGAATTCCGAAAATGGCTGTTGTTCAGGAGAAATTGACACACCCCTTCAGAAGGGTTTTCATCTGGTTTTCTATGAATGGTTGGATCGGCCATCTCATGCTTGTCTTCGTCCTTCGGCGGACTTTCCTCATCCTTTTCCATGTTCTGCATTTGCTTTGGTGGAGATGGAATGGTTTGTAATTGGTAGTTGAAAGATGGAAGGGAGGCTAGGGGATTGCCAGACAGAATTCATAGATGGAGGTTGGCCAGCTAGGATTAATGCTGTATCTGGCATCCCTTTCTGAGCCGAAGAGGCTGACTACAATCTGGCGTCCCTTTCTGAGCTGAAGGGCTACCCGTGACGCTCTGGCCACTGACTTTGGGGGGCGGATACCACTTGCACGAGTTCTTTTTTCCCCCCTCCCCCCCCCCTCCCCCCTCCTCCTCTCCCCTCTCTTCGTCTGCTCCCCTTCTTTCTTTCCCCCCCCAAAAAAATGATGGTGTGCTTCATCTACAATATAAAACTGTTCGCCCACGTTTTCCACCTCTGGCCGTGGATCTGCATAATCTACTGCCAGAAATGGAGAACGCGCGCGGCTGGGACAAGTCAGACCTGCCCTCCGCAACCCCATGCACCGTGTAGCACCTTGTAGTTGCAGTTTACTGCATGGTGCAACGCGCGGAAGGCGGAAGAAAGAGAAAATAGATGTGTGTGTGTGTGTGTGTG